TCTTCTTAAAATCAAGTCAAAGCTTAATTTCAAGGCGTTGCAAGAAAAGAACCCAAATCTCTGCTCTCTGCTCTGGAATGCTCTAACAAATGCTCGATCCTCGTCAGAAGTGACCCTAGAGGGGTATTTATAGCCTCAAGGGTCTGTAACTGCAAAAACTTAACAATCGAAGAAGTCAGTACGGTATTTATAGCCTCAAGGGTCTGTAACTGCAAAAACTTAACAATCGAAGAAGTCAGTACGGCGAGACAGTGTTTACTGTCTCGCTGGGCGAGACAGCGTTTGCTGTCTCGACCCGCGAGACAGTAAATTTGCTGTCTCGCTCAGCGAGACAGTAAATGCTGTCTCGGAAAATGGCAGTTTCTCGCTGTAACTGTTCTTCCACGTTTCAAACTCCGTTATTTTGGCAGTTATCCACGTGATTTTCGCCCATGATGTTTCCCACGTCCCTTGGCAGTTAATGGACACGTGTAGGGCAGTTACAAATGTAGTTTTGACTATTTCAACACTGTCTCGCTGGCGAGACAGCAAAGACTGTCTCGCTGGCGAGACAGTTCATACTTGTTTTGATTTTTCCAAAACAGTATGAAATCCTTTCTTGTGAATTTTTGAGTGATCTTCTCTATGCTTGGGATATCTATTAGCTTCTTGTGAATTTTTGAGTGATCTTCTCTATGCTTGGGATATCTATTAGCATTTTTTGACGCCTACATCATCATCTCAAGAAATCAACTTAAAGGGTTCATCTTTCTTCTTAGTATATGTGACATACACGCAGCATATGCCACACAGAATGCATAAACGTCACATAAAAACATCATAAGTGACATGAAACCATCATATTTTACAAACAGATATGTAGGCTGTCTAAAAATCACAATAGATAGCTGATCCCCATCAAACACCGATGATGGAAGTTACAATCTGACGACTTCCAGAAGGCCACAATTTGAAGACTTTCATGTGGATCGATGAAGGTTACAATCTGACGACCTTCACAACAATTGATGAAAACTCTAATCAACAACCTCCACAATCATCATCGGGAGTTACAATCTGACGACTCTCACATATCAGAGAGCTAAAGCAAAGATTACAAAATGACGATCTTTGCAACACTTCGACAGAAAGAGACTACAAATTGACGGTCTCTTCAAATCAAGACGTGGAAGTCCTCCCCGCGTACCAGCATCAAGATGCGCCGCGTTCATAGTCACGAACGCAGCTCAAACGCAGCTTTCATCCGCTGCCAAACGCAGCTTCCATCCGCTGCCAAACACAGCTTCCAAATCGCTGCAAACGCAGCTCAGACGCAGCTTCTCCGCTGCCAAACACAGCTTCCAAATCGCTGCAAACGCAGCTCAGACGCAGCTTCCAACGCTGTCAAACGCAGCTTCTAAATCGCTGCAAACACAGCTCAGATGCAGCTTCCAACGCTGCAAACACAGCTCAGACGTAGCTTCCAACGCTGCTAACACAGCTTCCAAATCGCTGCCAATGCAGCTCATGTTCGGCCGCAAACGTAGCATCTAACTGCTGCCAACGCAGCTTTTAACAGCTACCAACGCAGGTTCCATCTGCTGCCCAACACAGCTCGCAAACACTGCGTTCAAACGCAGATTTTATTCCAGAATGTAGGATTTGCGTTTGACTCGTTCAAACACGAGCTGAACAGTTTCAAAACCGTTTCCCACGATCTGAGGGGATCACAACTCCACTCAGGAGTGATTTAAGGGGCGGTTACATCCCATTAGCCCCACTGAGGAGCGAATTAAGGAGGTGGTTACACCCCTTAATCCCCTATAAATAACTGAAAATCAATTCAGTTCAGGGGTTCGGTCGGTTGGAACTTCTTGGCAGCAAAGAAGAGATCTTCGGCTTGTCTAACCAATTACGGTTAAGATCAATCAACTCATCAAGAGTTCTAAAACTTGCCACGCAAGTTCTCCACAACGTCAAATCGTGAGGAGAAGATCATGTTCCAGTGAAACAAGACGTCGGATCGTCAACGAGAAGCAAACTCGACGCGAGCATTCGAGGGAGGCATCTCATCGCCACCGTGAAGAACCCAGAATTAAACAAAGGGGAGAATCAAATTCATTCTCCTCTCTTTTGTAATCAGGAAATCCAAATTGTAATCGATTTTGAGAGAATACAAGTCAATTTTCTTTCACTGTCTTTTTACTGCAAATTTTCCACAAACAAGATAAACTCTGTTAACCGTCCAAATTTTAAATTTGCACAAAACCAACAGTATTGTTAATTGCAAAGAACAAATTAAGAGCATACAAGATTACAACAAATTAAGAGCATATAAGATTGCAAAGAACAAATTAAGAACATACAAGATTACAACAATATTGTCAATTTGCACAAAACCAGCCTTCCATTTCAAAAGAGATTCATCTTCAACCCCTAGCTCACCAGCTGGAAGCTCGATCCTTAGCCTTCGAATCTCCTTAAAGTTCTTCAAGATCTCGGTCGACGAGTGATGCGAAACTTCCGACGAAACTAGAGAGCAAGCTGACGACGAAGCTTCCATAGATCTCTTATTCAAGATCTGACCTAGGGCTTGGATAGGCTTGACGATGCCTCCAAGGAGAAGGCGAGTGATATTCGAGATGATGCCGCTTGTCTTATCGTTGTTGGAGGAGGCGGACGGAGCCGAGGAGGGGGTCGGGGAGGAGGGGGAAGGGGGAAGGAGGAGGATGAGAGGAGGAGGGGGAAGGTGGTGGAGGGAGAGGTCTTGGGCCAGATTAGGGCTAGCTTGAGAAAGGAATTGGGTTTTAAATGGGGAAGAAGGGTAAATTGGGAAGGGATTTCTTGGACAGTGGGAGAAGGGGGTTGGTTGCACTAATATTTCAAATTAAGGGTTTGGGGGTTATAGTTTTGGGGCTGGGGAGGAGGATGCATGAGCCAACTATTTTTGGTTCCTCCAAGCAATTTTCCCATTTTTTATTGGATGTAAATAATATTAGGCGTTCACATGTCATCTTCTGATATGATAGAAGAATACATCATTATTTTTTTTAATAACACATGTCATGTATTTAGATGACATGTGATAGTTTATTGTGCCTTTTAGGATATCATCAATTTCTCACTATGTATATAAAGGAGGGATGAATAATTAGCTATAGAAAATTTCATCTAAGCCCTATAAGTTTCTTTTTATTTAAAAATTAGTCGATCTTCTTTGCTATAATATCATCCTCACTCATGTTAGTCTACAATTACCAATAAAAAGGGATAAAGTTTCCATCTAACCATTCTTGTTTTTTATTTATAAATTAGAAACTAACCCAAATTTAATTAAAAAATTCAAGTTTATTTGTTAGGAGATATTTTTTTTACTACTGTGAGTATTTAGATTATTTTATATTTGAAAGTAATGAAGTTAATGTGATTTATTGTGAAAACTATAAAGATCAGAGTGAGTTCATGAGAAATCCCATATTTGAGGGGGTTAAATCAAAATTTTAAAGTTGAGAGATTAACCCTAAAATTAAGGAATTTCTTTGAATTAAAATAAGCCGACAGCTTCGGTACTCCTATAAATATGTTTAGAGTACCAATGGCACACCCTGTAAATATTAACCGTAATTTTTGCTCTCTAAGGAGGGTTATTCATTGGGGTAATTTTTGGGATAATGGCATAATTTTTGGAACAACAATATTTGGTGTTATTCATTGGGATAATTGGAACTGGAGTCATCTATGCTTTCCAACTGAATCCCATTTGTAACCAATTTTTAGTCAGAGGGTTCCCTTGAGTTCCGCTGGCAGTTTTTGTAATTTATTTAAGTTAGAGGGTTTATTGATAGTATGTGCGTCTTCCCCAGATCAAAAAACTGAACTTGTGCCTCCTAAGAGCTTCTCCAACCGAACGCTATCCCCTCAAAATGACGCAAAAAATGTTCCTGTTCCTCCTCCAACCGAACGCTTTCCCCAGCGCCATTTTGGGGGAGAGCTACAGTGCTGCGCCAGATTTGGCGCAACATTGTAGCTTTGGCGCAGTGAATTTTTTTTTTTTAGCCATGAAGTTTATTATTTTGTTGGTTTTTAATGTTTCTCTTTTTATTAATGATCAAAATATTTCATGGTAGCTTTTATTTTTTTAATTATTTTGATATGAACTATTATAATAAAATTAGATTATAAAATAATTATTAAAATAAAATTCAACAATGGAAAAAATAGATAGTTTAATCCAAACACTTAAAATTTCATAATACTAGAACCAAATAGAACATTGAACATAAACTAGAACAACATTGAAAATTAACACTAATTACAATACATTAAAATTAAAGGAAAATAGAATATTGAACATAAACTAAAACAACATTTCAGTATTCTGGGAAGTCATCATCAGAAGGACGAAGATGCTCGAAATATTGGGCAAAAGTACCAGAACCGGTATTTTGAGATCCTTCACCTTGTTTAGTTCTTTTATGCATAATTCTTGATTGTTCTTGTACAAGAAACTCATGTAGTTTTGGATCAGTTACTTGTGTCAAATCTTTCAGTAAAATTAAATTTTCTTCTCGTAATTCTTCCACGTCCACTTTTTTGGCTGCAGTTTGAGCTCGTAACATTTGGATTTCATAATTTAGTTGCCTATCAGCATTATTTTTTTCCAAAATTGCAAGCATTTTTTGATTCTCTTCTTTCATATACTCCATAAACTTAGAACTTTCTTCATCATTTCTCTTTTTAAATTTTGCTTTCCGTACTCCTATAGGTCTTTCAGAAGTACCACCAAAATCATTGTCATTCATATTAAAATCGAATGAAGCCAGTCCAGGAGATGCTTGTGTGGGAGAGTCTGAAGTGGGAGAGTACTCTGATTGTGATGATGCAAAGTTACCATGTTGCATACGTCCCACTTGAATTCCAGCATTAACATCTGCAAATTTTTTGATATCTTTCAAGATGGGCCATACATGATCGAATTTGAATCCCTTCTTATAATTCTTATCCCGAGCAAACAACACTTTAGCCCGATTGAACTGCAAAATGATATAAATATATAAAATTAAAATTCAATCATAAATTAAATCTCAAAAATATTTGTAACAAATAACACTTACAATATCTTGTTCAGAAGCACCGCTTGGATTTAAATTTTCAACCTGTCTTACACATCCCCTCATCTTGCCAATTGCAGTTAACAGAGTTTGCATTCGACATTGCAAAGATCTTCTGGGTCGAACTTGAGTGATAAAAGCAGGCATTGAGCTATGATAATCACTCTCAACTCGAGACCAAAATTGATCCTTAGATTGGTTTATACCTATGATCGGATTTTGGGAAATGTCAAGATATACATGGCAGAGGTGGCATTTGTGTATGAAGAACTTCGTTGATTTGAAGTCATCTATAACACAAATGAAGAAGATGTATGTTTCTTGAAGTATGATATGTTATTTATAGATGAAAAATGAAAGTGACAACATTTCAAAGAAAAGACATATCAATGACAACATATCAACTTCAAACACTTCATGACAACATATCAAAGAAAAGACACATCAATGACAACATATCAACTTCTATCACACATCAATGACAACATATCAACTTCTATCACACATCAATGACAACATATCAACTTCTATCACTTCATGACGACATTTCAAAGAAAAGACACCTCAATGACAACATATCAACTTCAAACAATTCATGACAACATATCAAAGAAAAGACACATCAATGACAACATATCAACTTCAAACAAGACACCTCAATGACAACATATCAACTTCAAACACTTCATGACAACATATCAAAAAAAAGACACATCAATGACAACATATCAACTTCTGTCACTTCATGACGACATTTCAAAGAAAAGACACCTCAATGACAACATATCAACTTCAAACAATTCATGACAACATATCAAAGAAAAGACACATCAATGACAACATATCAACTTCTGTCACTTCATGACGACATTTCAAAGAAAAGACACCTCAATGACAACATATCAACTTCAAACACTTCATAATGTTGACACCTCAATGACAACATATCAACTTCAAACACTTCATAACAACATTTCAAAGATAAGACACCTCAATGACAACATATCAACTTCAAACACTTCATGACAACATTTCAAAGAAAAGACACATCAATGACAACATATCAACTTCTAGCACTTCATGATAACTCTTCATGACAACATTTCAACTTCCAACACTTCCCGTTTATCATCTCCATCTATTATAAAAGCTCATATTGATGAGTTTGCTAAAATCATAAATGTCTATTTTCAAAAATGAATTTCAACAATGGAGATCCTTCTAATTTGTCATCATCATTTTCTGATAATGAAATTGAAGATGAACAATTGATAGATGATATTGAAGCGATTGATGCAGAAAGGGAAGCGGTGTTTCGCATCAGGAACAACAACAATCTTCTCATGGCTTACTATATCAATCAACAAAACAACCAAGTAATTCGTGGAGGCTCAATTCCTGGTCATATAGTGATCAACCGTGATCGAGAAAATGCTGATCGTAATCTGTTCAACGACTACTTCTCTGAGAATCCGCGATGTAATGATTCGATGTTCCACCGACGATTTTGAATGTCTCGAGATTTATTCCTTCGCATTGTTAACGCCATAAAAGCTCACGACACTTACTTTATACAGCAAAGGGATGGGGTCGGTAGACTTGGATTGTCTACGCTTCAAAAAATTACAGCTGTGTTCCGAATGTTGGCATATGGTCTACCAGCGGATGCTACTGATGAATACATTAAAATAGGAGAGTCGACAGCAATCGAAAGTTTTAAGAGATTTTGTCGTGCTGTTGTGGAGGTTTTTGCAGAACAATATCTGAGATCGCCTAACACTAATGACATTGCCAGACTACTACATATTGCTAAACAACGAGGTTTTCCAGGAATGTTGGGCAGTCTAGATTGCATGCATTGGAAATGGAAAAATTATCCAACGGCTTGGGCGGGCCAATACGCAGGTCGTAGTCGATCCCCAACTATTATTCTGGAGGCCGTAGCTGATTATGATCTTTGGATATGGCATGCATATTTTGGTTTGCCAGGTTCCAATAATGACATTAATGTTTTAGAGGCATCTCATCTTTTTGCAAAACTCGCTGAAGGTATTGCTCCTCCTGCTCATTATGTCATTCAAGGTAAACATTATAACATGGGTTACTATTTAGCTGATGGTATATATCCAAAATGGTCTACTCTTGTACAAACAATTCATGATCCTCGTGGTCCAAAAAAAAAGTTGTTTGCAATGAAGCAAGAAGGATGCAGAAAAGATGTAGAACGTGCATTCGGAGTACTCCAATCTCGATTTGCAATTGTGTCAGGACCAGCTCGTTTTTGGAAAAAAGAAGTATTACATGATATCATGACTGCGTGCATTATTATGCACAACATGATAATTGAGGATGAACGTGATCTTAATGCTACAATTGAAAATTGGAAGGAAGCACCAGTTCCGGACGTAGAGATGGTTGTAGATGAAAATGCTCGGTTTGAAGGATTTCTGGCTCGTCATCGACAAATCAAGAATAAAGAAGCTCATATTGCACTTCGAGATGCATTAATTGATCATTTGTGGGATGAATATACTAATTCGGAGACTTAGAATTTTATCAATATGGACCGTGTCTTTGTGTTTTATTTTATGTTAAATGTAATGCCTTTTATTTTTATTTTATTTTTTGCTTGCAAGTGTGGTTTTCTTTTGTGATGTTAAATGTAATCTTTAGTTGAAGTTATGAAAGTAATATTTTAATTTGATTTAGCATTTAATTTTTATATTTTTATTTTATTCATAAAATATATTATTATAATTAATTATATGTATTATATAATTATATAATTATATAATTTGTTAAATATTTTAAATTTCAAAAAATGTTAAAAGATAAGAATAATAAAAGGAATATTCTTTTTGGTGTAACATTTGGTGTAATGGGTTGGAGATGGAATAGTAATTTTGTTTTTTCCCTATATTTTGAACCACCATTCAAAAGGTCGTAGCTCCGCCCCTGTTTGTGGGATGAATATACTAATTCGGAGACTTAGAATTTTATCAATATGGACCGTGTCTTTGTGTTTTATTTTATGTTAAATGTAATGCCTTTTATTTTTATTTTTATTTTTGCTTGCAAGTGTGATGTTTTCTTTTGTGATGTTAAATGTAATCTTTAGTTGAAGTTATGAAAGTAATATTTTAATTTGATTTAGCATTTAATTTTTATATTTTTATTTTATTCATAAAATATATTATTATAAGGGGTTTTTGTCTTTAAACCCTATTGTTTACCTATCTTTATTTTTAAACCCACTCATTATTAAGTCCTAACCCTAACCCTAACCCTAATCAAGTCCTTCGCCGCCGGCGTCATCCTCTCCACCTCCCTCGTCCACGTCCTCCCCGACTCCTTCCAGGCCCTCTCCGATTGCCACGTGGCTCCCCGCCATCCGTGGCGCAACTTCCCCTTCTCCGGCCTCGGCGGCATCGTCGGCGCCCTCCTGCCCTCCTCGTCGACGTCGTCGCCTCCTCCCGCCTCGAGGACGCCGCTCGGGCCCCAAGAACTACGAGAGGATCGAGAAGGCCGGTAAGGCCGCTGGTGGTGGCGCTGGCGTTTCATCAGGTCTTCGAGGGGATGGGACTTGGCGGATGCATTGCTCAGGTAGAAAATTTAGGTTTTTGTGTAGTATAGTTTGAATCTTTGAGGGTTTGGTGGGGGATAAACCCTACATAATTGCAGCATTTGGAGTTCAACCAAACTTTTAGTATCGATTCTAGGATTTGAGGAATCTTTATGCTAGTATTCTAATACCTTACAAGGATGTATGTCAGCATCATTTGAGATTGCTTGCATCTAGATATTATATTCTTCTTGGAGCTTAAATCATTTGTTAAATTGTTCCCGTTGAAATAAAATTGTTACATTTGAAGCCATTCTATATATTCAAAGTTACATTATTGCAACTTCCTAAATGTAGAAACACGAAGAAACCCTCTTTCATATCTGAGCTAATATTTGGTTGTGCAAAACTTGCTGTGATGTTACGAATTACTGGTCTTGTGATCAATAGTAATAAAGATTACTCAGTCTTATGATAGGAGGGACATTTTAATGGTAGTCAATTCTTTTAGTGCTATTGTATATCGTTTTTGTTACGCTCTTGCTGTTAGTTATCTTATCCATCAGTATTTCCATTCTAGGATGAGAAGTTGGTGTTGGATTTGAAAATAAGGCATAGTTTTCAAAGCATCTTCCCTATATTGTTATATTCTAGTCCAATCGAAAGTTATTTGCCAGAATTGTCCAACGTACAAAGAGTGAGTGTGGCATAAATGAGGTTGTTATGATGGTGAGTGGATAGGCACTAACTCTCTATTTGGTTATGTAAAGTCATTTGTTCATTGAATCGCATTTATCTGCTTTTAACTGAAGGTATATTTTCTATAAGTATAATGTTCATTGAACCGCTTTTAAACTCAACCTATTGTTCTTTTGATCCGCTTATATTTTGCTTTCAGGAAATCAACGTGATCCTCAAGACCAATTCCCCGGATGCTAGATGCCAATTGTGATATCAAGCATTTTTTGTGTACATATATATGTTTGGAAAGTGATTTGTAAAGTCATTTGTACGAAACCTATGAGACTGTTGTTGGGATTGGTTATGTAAATTCAAATGTAAAGTCATTTTGTACAATCAACCACTGTGGTTAAATTACTGGTTATGTAAAGTTTTATATGCTTCTAAGTCATTAAAATTGATGGTTTATTGCACGTAAAGTTCTATGGTTCAGCGCACCAGCTACATAAAGTTTTCCCTCAAACAGAACACAATATTCTCTTACAGA